CCTCCCTAGCCTCTCTCTCTCTCTCTCTCTCTCTCCGCATACGTGTGCTTTTATCTTTTTGTGGCGTGTGGCATATGATTCCAGTGACTTGCCATAACACTTTTGGCGGCTTTTGACAGTTCAATGGCCACGTGCGTGTGAGCTAACCGCACAGTAAAACTAGTTTCTTTGTATTTCAAGAACCAGTCTTGGATCTTATGGGGAGCACCAATGCAATGACATCCAAGAGCAGGTCTTGAAACACAAGAAACTTTGTTTACCGTGTGCTGGGGCATTTCTATTTTGTTACTCGGACCTCTTGCGGTTCGTTGCCTTCGTTTTGTTTGCAGACGGTGGCTTTAGACGAACCCCGCCGCCACCAGTTTTGTAGTGTAATAAAGGCGGAAAGGCGTATACACAACTTCCTTAACATCAGCAAAATCCCACCTTGACATCCCTGCGTTGGTTTTCTTTTCCCGTTTTTCATTATTGTTTCCGTTTCCCTACCATTTTTGCTCTTGGTGGCGGGAAAATGCTTGCGTGCAGTGGGTAGTAAAAGGGGGCACTTGTCTAAAACTTGTTTGGGGTTGATAAACTCTCTAGATGGGAGGTTGTACAGTTTGAAGATTGTGCTGATAATGGTTGGGATGCTCTGACACAGTGTCGTTTTCGTCCCGTCCTGGGCTGGGCGTTCTCTTTTGTCTTTGCCCCTTCCTGGCCCGGTCGGTAGAGGGGGTTGAGGGTGATAATTTTAGCCACGAGCATGTGTCGTTCAGCTGCCTGCGCCCTGGATGGCTTTTCGTCGTTTTGGATGACAACTGAACCCTCTTTCTCACTGTTTCAGGATGAGAAAAACCAACTGCTCATCACGAACATCTGGCTCAAATTGGTAAGTATCCCTTCTACTGATGACCCGCAAAAGTTAATGCATTCTCTTGTCAGTTCATTTCAAAGTAAACCTTATTTTTCGTTTATAGGAATGGAATGATGTCAACTTGAGATGGAACACATCAGAGTTCGGCGGGGTAAAAGATTTAAGGATACCACCACATCGTATATGGAAGCCAGACGTGCTCATGTACAACAGGTAAATTTTCACTTCCAGCTAGAAATTATGTGTGCTGTCAATAATACTTACGTCTGCACTACTGATCCGTTATCAGTAAAAAAAAATTCAAATCATTCTTTATCATGTACTGCAAAGTCTTCTTGTTGATAAAAGTACTTTAGTGATCAATTTTGGGTCAATGTGGAACTGGAAGTGAGGGTGCAACCCCTCGACCACGCGTTGTGTGGTGTTGCCTACCTCGACCTCGCAATGCGCTTTGGGGCGATCACCTGATTCTGCGAGCAGCGGTGGGGGAAGGGGGGAGGAGGGGTCATGCATTTATTTCTTGCGTGGTCTTTATACCTGTCGTGTGCTCTACAGTGCGGACGAAGGGTTCGATGGGACATATCCGACAAACGTAGTGGTGAGAAACAACGGGAGCTGCCTCTACGTCCCACCGGGCATCTTCAAGAGTACCTGCAAGATAGACATCACGTGGTTCCCTTTTGATGACCAAAAATGCGAGATGAAGTTTGGAAGCTGGACGTACGACGGTTTTCAGGTGAGCTGAACAGGGAAAATCTCGTTTCCTCTTTTCGTGTTTCTTACTATGGCCCTAATGTGCGCGTGTGTGTGAGCGTGAGTTTGATGGTTGTGGAAAGGTGCGAGGGTTGGAGTAGGGGAGGGGGGGGGTCCAACTTTCCTTTGCGAGAGCACGTCGCACGCGGCGGTCATTGAATCCCAGGCGAGGCCGCCGCACCCCTTTCTAATCAAAAGGCGAGTCTAACAATCTTAATTAAGGAACCAATCTCGGCAACCCTCATCCAGGCCGCGCCCTCGATGCGACGGGCGCGGCGGGTCGTCGTGGCCGATCTGTAGAAGAGCGTGTCTAATCAGCCCGTGTGTCTTTGCAGTTGGACCTCCAGCTCCAGGATGACGCCGGTGGGGACGTCAGCAGTTTCATCACGAATGGAGAGTGGGACTTACTGGGTAAGGTCCTGCAAACACTGGGTGCTACGTTTGCGAAACCATTTGGTTTCACTGACCACTTGATTAATCGATCCGAACCAGTAAATTGGTTTAAGTTGTAACTGACAAATGCAAGTGTGCCACGCTGTTTTACAAAAGGGGACATTGTGCTTGTTCTTTGCACACATGCTTCAGAAGATCAGTAATTAGTTTTAATAATTTCAAGGAAAAGTAAAATTGGAAGAATATACGGCACTGTAGAAATTTGGATTAACGTGTCGAAGTACCGATACTTCAGAGCACCCGACCCGTTTCTACAACCGCTTTGTTTTCTGAACCATTTTAACATTTGTTCAGTTTTCTGATCACGAGCCGATTGCAACAAACGTTCCTGAAGTAGCAGTTGTTGCACACTTCTTGTCAATTATGAACAGGAAAAAATTGTCCCTTCAATCAACTTGTGTGAGCACAGCGAAGAAGGTTCTGTTCAAATCAATTTCTTTCGCTCTGTTCACTGTTGTTCAAATACTATGACGTCACATGCTACATAATGTGATTTGTGTCACATTGTTTAGAATATCATGTCACATTCGTTAGAACGTTACACACCCCTGCATCGCTCTGCCCTCACGGGCTCAGTGCGTTTTATAACGATTTTGACATGATATTGTAAACAATGACACAATTCACATTAAATCGCATTAAATGGAATGTGACGCACAGTATTTGAATAACAGTGTTCAGGTTTACTAAAGCGTATGTTGTAGGAACGAATTATATTTTTCCGAATTACTTTAAGATAACTGCAAATGGTGCGCAACCTCCTCTCATAACACGATTAAAATTGTGCAGATTCAAAGGCCTTGATTGCTACTAGGCTACTTGCATGCACTTTTAGAGGTTCGTTGGTTACATGAGAGGAGCTTGGGCCATTCAGGGCGGTCGGGTGAAAAAAAGGCGAAAAATAAATATTGCTAGGTTGACATTTTAACGACATTTTAACCTTTGTCAACTATACTCGCCTATCTCGTTTTCAAGTGGAATTGTAAAGAAACAAATTTCAAATTTCTCAGAGTGTGTACTCTGAAAAACTTACGGCGGAACACGGCTGTTCTATGGTCGTAACAGTAGGACAGTACACAGTCCCACTGTTGGCAAGCATCATTCCGTTCCCACTGTGTTCGACCGTTGCAACACTAGGATATTAAGTCCCTCTGTTCCATCAGTATGAGACTATTCTGCTTTTGGACTTTTGTCCTGTATCTGTTAAAAATTCTGTTATCTCCGACGTAACAAATTTTCTTTCATCACGCATTTTTTCACCTGACCTTGTAGAAGTTATGTGTATCGCTCTCTGTGTGTCCAATTTTAACAGAAGTTTGATTCAAAGTCAGAAACATTGCCCCTCAATAAGCGTTGAGGAGAGAGTTTTGACTAAGTGAACTTCTGTTGGAACGTACAGTGACAGTTTGGGGATACTGCAAGAGCACTGTAAAGACGAAGGTGCTAACAGTCTAAAGTTCGTGGTCGCCTAGGGTGCAAAAATTTTGGCACTCTCTTTAAATTGTAAAATTTTTACCGTCTTTTGCCCAAATTTAATATCGCCTCAAAATGTGCATACTCTAAGACGGCCAAAATTTGGCAATCAAAAGGAAGTGCCAAAATTTTACCAACGTAGGCTATCACGGCGTTTAGAATGGAGTCGCTCTTTTGCATGGGCTATGATAAATAAAGTGTGCAACCTGCATGCACATGCAAGTGCTCTATTTTTTTGAATACTTCGAAGTGTTTGATTGGATATTTAAATACTTAAAAGTGTTCGACAGTAAATTTCAACCCTTTTAAGCTGCTTGGCCAATCCTGAAGTTAAACACTTCTAAGTGGTCAACTTTACTGTTAAACACTCAAAAGTGTGCATCATAGTGTTGAGCACTTGCATGTTCACGCCAGTTGAACACTTATTTATCAGTGTATGCTCAACGTATTTGATGCCTTGCTATCACCCTCCGCCACTGCGAGCGTTTCAATGAATACTTAAGATATAAGGGCAATCAGAATAAAGTAATTCCAATTAGACAAGTGTAAATATCACGAAAGTTTCCAATACATGGTGCAGTTACCCATTCGAATGGGAGTGCTTGACAATTGTCGCTTGCAGAATAGTTCTATGTCGACAGTTATACTCCTTTTCTTTTTTTCCTCGTATGGCTGTCACACTTATTAACGTTTTACCGTCGACAAACACTTTTGGTTTGAGACATTTGCCTCTCTTTCTCATGGATTTGTCACATTCATCTCACTTTGTATTTGTACTTTGTCAAGTGTTTCACAAACATCGGAAAACAACTCATATTCCACTAATGTTCCCAAAGGCACTAGGGCTTCTCGTTAACGTCTAATGTTATTACTTTATTCTATTGCCTATGTGAAATTGGCCGATTTAAGTATGTAATGAAATTTCTGTAACCAACTGCCATGAAAAAAACACAACATCGCGCAAAACCCCCAGACCCAGAATCGTCTGAGCCAACCGGGCCATTTTCTCAAAAAAACACATTTTTGTTAACCTGAAAAATACTGAAAAGTAACGAGTTTGAAGAAAAAACTCACACAACCCCACAATTTATTAACATTTTGAAAAATACCATTCCGACGACACCTTCTAACGCCTTGTACGTTTCACACGACGCCATTCAACAACCTTTTGAAAAAAGAGCGGCGTTTTTCTCGCCTGGAACTCCATCCAGCATTATTTCCTTCTCGGGCGATATAAATGCTTTCTATTTAGCTTTGCGCAAGTTTTGCATTTGTCTTAGAAAATTTCGCACGGCGTGCAAGCTGGGAACAAATAAAAACATACTTTTGCTGACATTTCATAGCTTTGTATAGCCACGCTACTTTTCGTTTTCTTTTTCTCGT